TAGTGTTTTTTTTTCTTCTGAAAGGTTGCTTTTATAGGCTTTGAAGTTAGGCTAAGTTGGGTGAAGAAAGAAGTCAATTCCAATAAGGATTTCTTCATCAAACTATGTGGGTCGTAACCTTGCCTAATTAATTAACAAAAATCCTAATTGCTTTAAGACTGTTGTAATATGTCAAGTTTGATAAGATTTTTGACCAACTTCTAGGCCAAACTGGATGAAGTGGTAAATGAAATTGTAGCGTTTTCTCTTATCTTTCCAATGGTCCAAGAATTCCTTCATTTAGAGCTCTGTAGAGAGAGTTATGATCGAAATACCGAAACATATGCAATGAAAATCTGCACCTTGAAATTGCTCTCTTTCTTTCACTAAAATTTTTCTTTCATCAAATACTTACAAAAGCACAAATAAATCAATAACAACTTATCTTAACCATATTAACACCAAATTAAGCATAAAATTAAGTAAGATTAGATTGACTCACCTAAAATAACTAATTTAAAATAATTAAATTAAATCTACTAATTTCTATCCATTACTATAAGAACTAAGCTAAATTATTATCAAAATTAAGCTCAAATAACTCTATATCATAAAGTTGTCAATTTTACATCATTTCTGGCACAAGATTTTTTGTACATGAAAATGGTTTTAGTGTGGATATCGTATACTAAATATTAAATTTTCCCCTATATTGGGATGCTGATCACTTGACATACAGATACACTCAATGGTAAGCTTGTTGATGTACCAGGTTGTGTGGCCTTTGTGCACAAAGTTATCTATTGAAGGAGAAGAACTCCTAATGTAGGAGGCTAAATGTAGGGAGGCTAAATGTAGGGAGGATAAACCTTGATACAGTAAGCTGAATGTAAAGAGAAGTACCCCATGGCATATAATGTAGGGGCAAAAACCCTAGGTTTATATTACATGGTGAGACCATGAGCTTCTATGTCTTAGCTAGGGCCACTGGGTTAGTGTAGTTGGGTATATTTATTATGTGGGAGAGGGCCCACTAGTTTGAGTCCTATCCGAGATCAGTTCTCTAATATTTGGTTTTAAATTTAATTATAGCATGGGTATGAATTATATAATTGTTTTGTACATGGCAGGGGATTGCGGCATACATGGAAAACCTATAGTTTCCAATTGGTTTACACACTTAAAAATAATTGTTGTGTTCTTGCTATGTAAAATGTTTTCATTATCTAAGCTAACATATGCTTTGGCGTAGTGTTGCATATATAATGGTTTTAAAGGTGCATGTTATTTATTACAATAGCATAAAGATGATTTTATTATGATGTAAGGTTGTATAAGTAAATAGTGTTTTATACTTGCAAGGTTGTCTTAATTGATTATTGGTTTATTTATCATTATTCTAGTTATTATTCAAATATTCCAACCTTAATGCTTGTTTCCTATTTTTGCCTTACTAAGTCCATGAGACTCACTCCACTATTTATTTTGTAGACAAGTGATCCACTTAGTGCATCCTCCTATGAGTTTTCCTTCCACCACAAGGTAGGTAATGACATCTTGTAGTACCTTCCCCTATGTCACTCCACTGCTAGATGTCCTTATGATTGCTTATGAGTTCGGTTAGTTATGTCTAATGAATTGAAGAATGTAATCTAAGTACCAAGGTTATATTTTAATGTGATGTACGAACAACAATGTTTTTCTTTTTGTGTTTATGTTTTAAATTAAGTATGACAATGGTTTGAGTGTGTCAAAAATTAAGGGAGAGTATATTACGTTTAGGTTTAACCATGCAATATCACGTTGATAGCTAGGATAAACTTACATTGAGAAAAGAACAAATAATTATACTTTGCTACTATGAAACATATCTATTCAAGTAATACACTCAAAGTTTTAAATCTCATCACTAGATATTTAACAATTGGCAAAAAAAAAAAAAAAGGTTTAAATCAAAGCTAGCTTAAAACTTGTTGAGCTTGCTCGCGAGACTTGAGCACCAGTAGTAATTACGAGAGTCAGTTGTTACAGTTTGATAATACTTTCTGTTTGATGGATTAGATTTACAAAACTAAAGAACAAGTTTAATTTGATAACAGATTTTTAGCCTGCTAATGCTAAAGAACAGACTTAGTTTTATTATGCCTTAGGTTTATGTACTGTTTGTGAATGCAAATAAAACTATATTACTTCAACTGACAAAATAGTCTTATCCACTATTAATTTTACTTTCTAATGATATTCAACAATTTTAGATATCCTATGCAATTCACTGTGCAAAACCTTACTGGAAATATGGAATTGGTGGCACTTAGAAAACCAGTAGAGTAATTAATAAGAGCTACAATTACAAAGCTTACAGCATTAAAGACTTATCAATAGAATGATATTGCCTGGACCTATAAAAGCCTTGATGCCACAGACAAGGACATTCATTATAGGTCTGATCTCAAGAGCAGTGAAGGCAAGCCTTGCCAATTACAAGATGTTTAACTGTAATGTAATCATTAACCAACTATTCCTGACTAACACTGTTACCAATACCACTATACCAGTAGCACCTCTGGCAACATCTGAAGTATAAAACCAAGAACCTACAGCATCACCAATAAGTAGCAGAATAATCAGAGAGTTGTTCCCAAATTGCACACCTCAAAAGTACGGCCGCAGAAGCCACGGACAAGAATCACTAACCAAAAATATAAACCCAGGTATAAAAATCACACATACTAGAATAAACTAAAAATTCTATACTAAAATTACTTACTATGATTTTACATATGCAGGCTACACTCCAAACCCAATCATTGATGCTACACCAACTTGAGTGAAAACTTTTTGTCCACCTATGCTTGCCAATCAGCCGGTGAATTTAAATTGCCATCCACATCTAGCAATGTCTTATGTTTTCGTATCAAAGCACATGTTGTGTACAACACTTGCATCATGAACTTTGTATATATATAGATATATATATAATGATGGCAATACATTAACAAACAATCTTGATTTTGTACATGCTTAGAATGCTGGTAATTGCTAAACGATGAATTTTGTTATTAAGGTGAGAATGAATGTAAAAAATGAATGATGCTATTATGACTACCCTTCATTTATGCTTTGTGTTTTATGTTTTTATAGCAGCTGTATGTATGGCTTTTGCAAAGAATTCTTCAATGCTCATTCTTATTTCTGCTGATTAGTTTCTTCATATTTGATGCTTTTATTGGGACTATTGAGATTGATTTTGGAGGGTATTTCACAACTGTTATTCTGACCACTACCTGATGGGAGTTGTACAAATGTTTCTGCTGGTTTCTTCCTTTCTGTTTTATGTTTTTAACAAAGCAGTGAAGGAAGTGTTATTCTACCCCATTGTTAATTCTTCAGTTATTTCTGCTGTTTAATTTCTTTGTGTTTTATGCTTTTATTGGAGTTGTACATATTGATTTTGCAGGATATTCTTAAATGATCACTCTTCTTGCAGGTGAGAACTGTTACCTTGCCTCATTCTTCATGAGGGCTGCACATCTAATGTTTTGACAAGACTAAAAGTGAAATTAACTGTCATTATATTTGTTTATAAAAACAAGTCATAATTATACATGTATCATGCAACTTTCCTTTCAAAGCGTAATAAACTGTTATACCATCCGAGCGCAAAACGCGGGATATTTCTATGGCAGGCCTTCAGAGCCTCGCTGCCTGCTCGTGGATCTAGTCAGCCTCTGGCTAATGCTGGCAACGTGACTGAAAGAGAAGTGAGGTTATCATCTCCTAGTAACATTCATCGGAATGAATCTAAAGAAGCAGATGTTCCAAACTCGCAACTAAACGAGTTAGGTACAATGGAGGAATTGGGTGTTTCCAATGACCTTGGTGGGCTCCAAGATCTGAGTTCCTGGCTAAACATCGATGAGGATCATGGCTTGAAAGGCCATGGTTTCATAGGTTTAGAAATACCAATAGATGACCTCTCGGACTTGAAATTTGCATTTTGAAATCCCTGCCCTTTGCGGTGGCCAGGTAGGTTACCACTGACCAGCCTGTCTGGTGCAATCTGATCAGAGAAGTGTAATTATGATTCAGTTTTTTGTAGATATCATATTTTGTGTAATGGAAGAAGCATTGAACAATTCTCTGTATATTCACTCCATTGTTCCACCACTCACTTCATCACATCCCATGATTAGTTGACTACCTTTCAGAGTTCCATATTTCTTTGCTGTTTCATTGAAACAGAACAGATTTAAGAAAGACTAATAAATTGATCAAAACAGGTAGAAAGGTGCCTTTCCATTGAGCCAATGCAATTACATTTACCAGATACCAAGACAATCCAATACCCAATATTGAGACAAACAAGAAGCCCCCTATTTTCAATTTGCTTGATAAGCTTATTGCAGTTCAATGGCGCGCAAAACATAAGAGATTTCCAGGGATCAAAAACCACCAACCGCAAACCAACCCTTTCTCAAAGAACTTCTAGGTATTGATTTTGAAACAGCTTAGCAAAGCATGAATTGATATTGCATGGGTTTGACGTAAAAATAATAATAATTATTATTATTTATTCATAAAATTTATGGATAATAAATATGATGGAAGGATTGATTAGTACTTAAAGGTAACTAAAGAGATGGACTCATTAATAATTTTTTCTCTGTAAAGACAAATTGTAATAGACTAACGGATGTTACTGCAATTAGTGAATAAATTAGATTAAAAATTTTAAATTGATTAATAGTTATGAGATAACATAGACTTGAGCCAACCAGTGTGAAGAAAGATTCTGATGACCACATACATATTCTTTTTATTTGTCTTATTTGAATGGGTAATATTGCTATTTACTTTACTATCAAAATTAGTTAACAACAAATCTAAAAATCCTAAAAAAAAAACATGAATTCCTGCTTAAATGTTTGACAATAGGCCAGTCAGGTACACCATATGCATTTCATAATCTATAGCTGTTTTTACTCTGCCATCATAGAACTATTTACACAGATCATCCAGCATCATCAGAGTGCATTATTTCCAGAACAAATTGAAAGTACCAATGCTTACAAGATTACTTATCCCATAAATTCATTTTATAAAGGATAACTTACATGAATATATACATTTTTGGCCTGGTTCAGTCATAACAACCTAAGTTGCTAGCCACTAAATTCTACTTCTAGTGGGCAGCTCCTGCTTAACTTGATCCCTCAAAACTCTTCTTAGTAATTTGTTCGAAGCAGTTCGGGGAAACTCTGGAACTATCTTGACAAAGCTCACCTGTTAGTGTCAAAGCCAAAGGAAAACGAGATCCCGTCAGCTCATGTGGTAAGGAAGCAATGAGTATTTTCTGCATAACCTATCTATGGAATGAACATGTTGACTTACAGTTCTCATTAAGGTTACTATTAAACAACATTAAAAAATGAACTAAAAGCCATTTCCTGAGTGAATAGAATAGCTGATTAACATTTGAAGCCACTTTGTATGAGTTTCCACTAGACACCAAAGGTATTGACACCAAGACAAAAGTTTTATTATAACTCAAAAACTTCACTAGCTGCTGAAATAACTCAGTAATTTTAAATTTTATGACAGAGTTCAAATATAACAATGCGGCAAATCATTAGGTTAGGTGCCCAGACAGTGTATAAATATGAAAAAGATACTTATTACACATCCCAGATGTCTAACCTTAAACAAAGGATTGAGGTTGCTCTGAATAGCTCTTGAGAATATCATCTTCAACTTCTCTGGCTGATGACTAGCTCCTTCCTTTAGCACTACAAATATTATCAACTGTTCTGGACCACCATCTGGTGGTGCTACACTGACGGCAGCAGTCTCCAAGATGCTTTGATCAGCTCGGTCACACACACGCTCAATTTCAACAGAACTTGTCTGCATATTGGGAAAGATTTTAACTTTCATCCTAAGATTGCTTTTAGTTTATAACAATAAAGGATTGCAAAAAACCAAATTCACTGGCATTTAAATAACACCAAGATATCTTTCCTGAGCATATTTGACAAAAAATAAAAAATTTCAATAGTCAAAGAATTGCTTCTTGCAATTTAATTTTAGGAGGCAGACTCCAAATATGCTTACAAATTCCTAGGTTATGCATCAGGCCTATACATTAAATGATCTTCAATTGGCTTCATTATTAGTGCGTTAAAAGAGAAAGAGACAGAGAGAAAGAAGGGGTGGGGGAGGGGGAGGAGAATGCTGTACCTTTATGCCACCAAGATTCATGGTGTCATCAGCCCTGCCCTGCACAGTGAAATAGCTACCAACAGTTCGTTTGAGGATATCCCCATGTCTCCTCAGGTGCTGCCAGTGCATACATCAAAATCATAAGAATGTACTAGAAACCACTTCCAAGAATCAGTTCAACAAAATTACGTAGAATTTATTGTTTGCTACTACTCTAACTGCTTTTAACTACAGCAAGCATAGATGTTAATCTAAGATAGCGATTGAAGATTTAAAAAAGTTTTTGTCCAAAGCCATATGTTGTGGTTTAGACCATTGATGTGCACAGCTTGGTTGCTTCATGGTCTTTCAGAAAGTAGACAAGCCCCTGAAAGAGAAAAAAGTTTTGGCGCTCTGCTAATGGGTAAGCAACGCTTTGATTGAAGTAGCATTTCCCGTTTTTGAGCACACTAGCTAAAAATCAGTTGACACTTTCTTGGTTTCCTTTTTTCTCAGATTTGTTAAGATGTCTGATCAGATGGAACAGTCAGAACATCAATGCCTAGCAGATAATTATAATAATCTTAAATACAAATATGGACCATAGATTTGCTGGCATTTGGAGCCTAAATGCACCCTGCGATTGACCACCTTGAAGCTGGTCAGAACAATAAGTCCATTTGAAAAGGCTGCACACCTTGTAATTCAAAAAGAAAAATAGCCACAAAGGGGTATGCAACACATAGCATCACAAATAAGTATAAACAAAGATCTCCACTGTAATCAGTCTAAGAAAGACACAGGAGGCCTGGTTTGCTACAGATTCTTACACAATTCAGATACTTCATGATCTTTCGCAGTTTCTAGGGGCTTCGTGTACTTTTTCCCTTTCTTGAAATTGAATTCATTACTGAAAAATATATATTCTAAGAAAGATGCATTTGGCCTTACTATTCCATTATGCATTGGCATTCCCTTGAAATAGACTTTCTCATGATCAGCATTAAGCAATCTATCAGTTGCTCCCAAGTAGAGAGGGAATAAACCCACTTCACCAACACAAACTTCATCATCCGGCTGTCACAAAGGTCAGAGGAATCAAAATATAGTAATACACACAACATAAAGAACAACATAAATCAGTTTGAATGACTCCTTTGTATTCCATGCTGTGACCATGACATATATTATCCATCTAGCTCTCAAAACAAATTAGGTAGGGGCATGATCTAAGCAATGGTCAAAGAAACTGAACTGCAGTCAAAACCTGCCAGAAAATGCTCTTACATAAGAATGTCCATGTTCATCTAGGATGACAAAGCCTGCTGTCATTGCAGCAGTGCTAAAGGCTCCAAAAGCTTGTGGCTGCAGCAGGCTCCCTTGGATATATGCTGATGAAAGCTCTGTGCCTCCACAACATTCAAGAACAGGTTTGTAGTAAGATTTTGAAGAAAGCCATAGGTCGTCATCAACATTGGAGGCTTCTCCAGTGGTAGCAAAGCATCTAAAGATATTTATTTGTCAGTCCTTTTTGTTGACAGTTCAAGTCATATAACAAAATTTATACTTGAAATTCGAAAGAATTACTTTATCTTTGTCCAGTCTAAGCCTTCCAAACAGTTTGTATTTTTCCAAGATTTTACCAAGCTTGGAACTGTGCCCAAAACAGTGACTCCAGCATCCTGAACAATATAACAGTAGGAAAAGAAGGTGGGATAAGAAGTTAAACACTGGTATACAGTATTTTGCAATACTTGTAGGCAAGAAGCCCAACTCTTTGACTAGAAGAATCAAAGGAAAATATAATAAGGACCTGTGTATCCTGTCTCACCTAAGGATATGATACACCCAAGATTACTTGGCTTCAGCTCTCCAGAAGGTTTAATCTCCGTCAGTTTATAACAATTCACCAGATTGCTCTTGATATTTGCAATGCCTTGTTACCTTATTTATGTCATTTTTAAAATTTCTTCAATGGTATTAACCAAGCTATGACCTTGATGATAGGCATATTAATATTAGTATTGTTTTTAAAACATCCTTTTTGAACTCTGATTTGGGAGGACGAGAACAGGTGATGGCCATTACCAAAGAAAAATAAGCATTGAAATTTGAGAGTGCCACCTGAACAAATTTTCCAAAACCATGTCCCAGAGGAGATCCATGATACAGAGCTAGTGTTGCACCATTTAAAAAGCATGTGAAGAGTAAAACTGGCCCCATCACCCATCCTAGATTTGTGGGCCAGCAGTAAACATCTCCAACTTTAATATCATTATGAGCCCACCCATCAGCAGAACATCGAATTGGGGAAAGTTGTGTCCATGGAATGGCTTTTGGTTCTCCTGGTCAATGCCAAAAAGTTGAACTAGAAAGTCAATTAAGGGCATTTCAATCTACAGCTTTAAGTATGCATAGCAGCAAAACAACTCTCTTTACCTGTGGTTCCAGATGAAAAAAGAATATTGATCACAGAGTCTGTTGGTTGATAAATTGGAGTGTAATGATTGGGTCTGCCACAAAGGCACAATGTCATCACATAATAACAGTAAATTAATCTAAACTAGTGTTAAATAAAGAAAAAGAGAGGAAGTAAAAATGTTAACCCCCTTTTGAATTAACTTCTCTCACTTTATGATTGTAAAGATTACCTTGGATGTTGGTTGACACTGGAAAGGAATTCATTCCATGATAGATCCTTCTCTCTTAACTGAATGCCTACATTATTCCCAGTCACAGGGAGCACGATAGCTTTACACGGATTAGCTTCTACAACTCGACTGCAAAAGAATGACAAATACTCATATCAGCACCAGTAATGTTCTCATAAACATATTACACCTCAAATTTGTCTTGTAGATCATTTTTGTCCTTCAAAAAATCATGTTACAGGAAACGTGGAATTCAGAATAGATCAATGAAGGGAAAGTAGCTTTTTAGCTGACATATTTGGAGAGAGCACCCCAGGAGACTTGAAGAATTCAATGAAGTTTTGATTGAGGAGAATGAAATCAAAGCATACTAAAAAGAAACCTCAATGCCCTATCAGTTAATATGACTAGGTATTAGAGGGCTCCCTCCCCCATAGCCATTTGACACAAAACAAAGTTTCTATCTTTAAAAAAAGATCCCATAGAGAGAGAATTAAAAAGATGTTTTAGTTTATTTTAAATGGCTTTTGGATCCCAAAGTTCAAGTTTGACTAGTTTAGGAAGCACAAACACATAGATTTTCCACCAACCAAAACTTTAAAGAAGAAAATTGTTGCATCTAGCATGTACAGGAAAAAAGTAAGTTTACCTGTATAGAGAAAACTGTCGACCTCCCCTCAGTATAAAATCCTGAATACAAAGAGTGAAGATTTGTATCATTTCCAATACAAAGCAGAAAACAAAAATAGCTTTAAAATTGAAAATTCAATTAGCAAAGCCAGTGGACCAAGTTTATATGAATGCCAAATTGCTTAAGCTTTGATTTCATCTACTATAACACGAGACCAAGAAAGTGAAATCCCAAAAAAAAGGATTTGACCAAATTGAAGTTAAAGCAAATAAGATGCTAAGCACTATATAGAACTATGAATTTGACTTAATGTTTATCTGTCATCTGAAAAAACTAAAAACAGAAGACAAAAAAAAGGGAAGTGAAAAACAATTTGGCCTCTGAAGATAAGGAAAACACTTCAAAACAAAGCTCAAGGGATAAGATGTATGAAGAAGATTAAATAATGCCACAGAGACACAGAACCACTCAGACCCCTTTGCCAATAATTGAGCATCTCAAGTCATTTGGAAAAAAACACAAAAATTAGCATCAAATACCACATTAGATGAACTTGTCATAATGCACAAAACACTGCAAAGCTGAAAAATGTGGGACACTTTAGTTCATACTTTTTTCCAATTTCATAGCTTTAATGAATTAGATAACCTAAGGAAATAAAAATTTACCTGAGTGAAGATGGCCTTTGCATTAGTGACATGCAAACGTGTTGCAATTTCTGTGGCTGCGAAACTGTCAGCAATGGATACAACAACAAATCCAGCTAATATAATTGCCAGATATATAACAACAGCACTGACTGTCATTGGCATGTCAATGGCAATCGCATCACCCTTTGGAAAGGAGGCATCCAGTGCGTTTGCAACCAACCTGTCAATCATTTTGAAACGTATGACCAACAGGTTAAAGCAAGATACTACTTCAACAAGAAAAGAACAGAATAAAGATTGTAGAATAGGAACAAAGATCAGATCACTTAATAAGATCAAATAATATAACAAAGACAATATCGGGATTTGATGTAAACATTGCTCCTAGACAAGCAGTCCTATGCCTTAAATAAAATTAAAGAAAAAAACTGATGAATATCAAAAATGATTTTTTTAAAATGAAAAAAAAAAAAGAAAAATAAACTATGCCACCCCAAACACAGAAATTTAAAGCAGGCCAAAAGAACAAGATACAGGTTGACTGCCAACCGTGATAGAAATGTAAGCACATACATTACTTGTTCTCGAAGTTCTTTTAACATCATGCGATTCACATCCAAATTATCACAGCCTTCTTCTCTCCATACAATAGCACAACTGTCATCCTGTTTTTTAGGATGACTAGAGGGCAATAAACAACATTCAGCTATATTCAAAACTGCACCGGGAAGCCATGTTCCACTGGGTTTTGATTTGTTACTCTTATCTAAAATGCTCCTTGGGGATTCATGAAATACAACTGAAAGTTCTTTTAGAACGATAGACCAATAAACCTGAAATTATTCAAATTTTCAGTTAGAAGGGAAAAAAATATCTACGACTTTATATTACATTCAGAATCAGATTAACATATACCTCACAAGGTACAAGGACAAAAATTTATGTTTACCTCAGGATGCCGGACAGAGAATTTCTGAAAGAGGCTAAAACTTGCAATAGGGTCCTTGTATGAAGTCCCTAAAAGCTTTGGACCATGAACCTCCATTAAATGTCCCAGATTTGTATATTTAGACTGAGATCTGGGAACAGGAAAAAAAAAAAAACCCATTGGGCTAACTTAGCAGAAAGATATGCTAAGTTCAAGTCATTGATATGACTGAATATGCCCACTATGCTGTCCTCTTTTACTGCTAATGTGCAACAATCAAATATATCAGGAATATGTTACATTAGCCTAAAATCTAGAAGCAGAAATTTTCTATCCATTCACATATATTTTAACTTCAGAACTAAAATATCTTGATTTTTAAAGTAAAATGGACTGATACACCCATCAAGCAGCAATGAAGTGTTTTTGTGAATCATAAGATACCAGAACTTACCGCACATTATGTAGGAAATTAAAAAATTTCCATGCACCAAACCAGACAATGAAGTTGGGTTTTATCATATGAGGAACTACTTAATTTAAACTGTAATTTTGTTCATTTGCATTTTAGACTGTCTACTCTCAATTTCACTCACCTTGCCTCTAATGTTTCATCATTTCCTTTTTTTTTCCTTTTTAATTTTAGAAGTGAAATTTGTTTCATTTGCACTTAACTCTTCAAAAATTATAAAAAAAATTAAGAAAATAATTCAATAGCACCTCCTCTGTAATTAGAATATATTGCCAGGAGGTATACTCAGCTCATTACATAAATAGAGGCAAATATCTTATTTAGCAGTTTAATTCTTTAATTAGCATACAAGTTCACAAACATACTATCTTTAGCTCTGCTTCTGCAAGGCTTAGCTTCAAGGAGTACCCTTAGGAGTAGAATTTAAAGCAACAATTTATGTTGTAGAATGAAGGGAAAGAGTAAAGAGGAGAGATTATAGAGAAGGAAGGGAAAGACTAAAGAGGAGAGATTACAGAGAAGGGAACCAGTAAAGAGGAGGGCCATTGGTGGAGGCATCCCAGTTGGCATAGACAGAGTAGTAGAGCAACTGATGCAGCTGATGCGGGTACCATGGCTTCAACACTCGCCTACGCACCACCTCTCTCCACACCTCCCTTGGGTCCGGGTCGGAACTTTTGCTTCCTGCAAAGCCTATGGCTTCTGTTATGACTTGATAAATCTCCCTGGCTCCCTCTATGCTTAACCCTAACCCACCAGCGTTGCATAAATCGTCTAACCCCACTTCAGCTATGCTTTTTCCCATCTCTTTCTGTTATGACTCTCTCCACAAACGTCTGTGTAGCGGTAATAACTAATTTAAGTGATGGAAGTTGTTAGGTACGCAAGGACATGAAAGTTTGGGAAGGGACGTTGAGCCACGTGATAAACTTTGTAGTAGGATGGTAAAGAAGATCATGCCCTCCGACAATTAGAATAGAGAAAAGCATTCATATCTTGGACTGAAGCTGAAGAAAAATGCAACCATGAATATTATATTAGCAATAGCAGATGACGGGTTGGATCAATTCAAAGAAACAAACTAGTAGAACGTCATAGTCATCCTTCTCTTTCCACTTTCTCTTCTTGTCAATGGCGTAGACTATAGCTGAGCTTGGTTTTTCTCAAAAGCTCCCTCAGCAACCCCACCCCTTAGACTTTTCAATCCACTTATCGACCAAAACATCATCTTTTTTTGTTTCCTCTATTAATTGTGCATTAATGATGAGGCCCTACTTATCCAAATTTGACTCCTTAGTTGCTTCATCGTCCTGCTTATAGAGTAACTTCAAATCTTAAAAAAATAAATATATTAAAACTAATTATTAAATCAAGACTTTTTCTAAAGAAAAACCACACTAATTAAAGAAAATTGAGTTTCTATATTTTAGTTACAAAATTAAGTGTACTTGTAACTTAATTTTTTTTCCTTCTTTTATTTGATACAACCTATCAAGCTTTTTATTATCTAAAAGTTGTGTAATTACTGTTTTATCTGTAAAGAGAGAATTATTAGTGTGACATTAATTTTTTTGTTCAATCTTTGATATAGAGAATATGAATAACCATGTGTGAAATTAATTTACTTTTCAAAGCTTTTTGGAGGCGAGGCACTTGCTCGTGAAGTACCTTTATCTTTAATCAATAATTCTTTTGTAGTAAACTCTTGGACTTCACCTTAAATAATAATTGTTGTTATTGAGTTAAAAATTAAAATTTCATACTTTGAAACAATTACAAGTAGTGGATAATTCAAAAAGCGTGAAGCCAATCACTTGTAAATAGATTTACAAATGAAAATTAGGATCCAATGAAAAGGTAAAGATCTACAAAAGTAAGGCTACTGACAAAAAAAGTATAGTCAAAAGCTTAGAATTGATTATGAAAGAACATTTTTACCTATAAACTAGTTAAAAGTCCAAAAGAATACTATTACCAATTGCAGCACACTATGATTATGAGATTTGATACATTAATCATAAAATCATTTTCTTGAATGGCTATCTTCAAGAAGTAATTTACATGGTTCACCTGGAAGGTTTTATATCCAAAGGTCAAGTAACAAAAATGTGGAAATTCATAAAATAAAATTATGGTCCAAAGCAAACATTTCAAAGTTGGAACATCTATTTTGATGAGACAAACAAATTTTTTGGTTTCTCACAAAATTTACATGAACCATGTGATATTGTTATTGTATGCCCTAGAAGTTAATTGGATAGGTAGTAAGAAAACATTATAATCGTTTTGTGCATTTAGCGTAATAAAAGTCTATTTTATCTATTAAGTTCACGCAATTTTATATTGATATTAACTTATAAGATAAGGTCCATGGAATGAAAATACCTTGCAAAAAGAATTATAAAAAGTTATAATTATGGATCCTTATTACATCAAAGCATCAATCCTAAATAGTTCTTAATCAATGCTTTATCAAGAGTAGACATTCATAGAAGTTGAGAGTTAGCACAAGTCATATTTTTAACTTATGAAGTAAGCAATTCGTACCATCCCGGTCCCTCATATAAAAGTCAATAAGAGCTTATTCACAAGACAAAGGGTCAATTGATGCTAATTTAAGTACCAAATAACGACCACGGGTGAAAAGAATATTTTAAAATAAAATATTTTATACGTTAAAAAATAATATTAAAATAATATTAAAATAATAACATTTTATAGAAGATTAATTAGAGAGTTAAAAGGTGATTTGAAAGTGAATCAGAATAAAGTGAGACACTTTGGAACCTAAGGAGACAAGTGAAGAATTTTAAAATAAAATAATATTAAAATATTATTATTTTATCTATTGTTGAAAATAGTCATGAAAGATAACTATATGACTAATCTAAGTGGGGGAGAAGAAGTAAGAAAGAATTTTAAAGAAAAACAACATTAGCGTGGCTTGCATGGCTTCATTAAATGAAGCGAGAGAAGGTAAGTATATATTTAAATATTAGGGTGACACTTTGTTAAAGAATGAATTTGATATTTTAGTGTAAAGAAAGAAAATTAGAAGGAAATTAGAATTAAAGGAATGATGGGAAGACCTAATTGAAAAGAATAAGAAGTTAAGGGGTGGAATTGCGAATAATGAAAAGTAAAGGGGTGAAGTTATAATTATGAACAATTTAAAGGATCAAATTACGATTTATGAAATATTTGAATGACCAAATTGTAAAGGATGAAAAGTTTAGAGGGTTAAATGGTAAATAAGAAAAAATTTGAAGACTTATGTGAAATTTCACCATTTTAAGTTAAATGAAAATTAACTAACCTAGGAAAATTAGATTATGTGGGAGGATGGAATATGCATGTAACAAATACTATTACATGCAAAGACATACATGCAAGGATGTACTTGTAGGGGAGAACATGTGAGACCCTCACCATGAGACAAACAAAAGACATAAGACGAAATGAATAAGATAACACATGCATGTGGACTTTTAAGTTAAAAGAATGCATAGAAGAATTATGCATGATGGACACTTGGTGACAAATTGGATTAAAGAAAAGAAAATGTAATGCATGTGATTTTATTGGCTAAAAAGGGAAGCCAAATGAGAAATAATGTGGAAGGATGCATGTAAAGCCATTGGACAAAAGTAAGATGGTGTAAGTAGAAACGTGTTAAACTAATGGAAGAATGGGAAAATGGGAAAATGGAAGTGTAAATTGAATGGCTAGCCATGCATGAAGGTGAATGGGATGAACAATGTGAAAAGATTTCCAGCCAATGGCCAAAGGGATAGAATTGTTGCATGAAGATTCATAAATTGGCAAGGTGGCCAACTAGCATGAAAAAAATAAAAAAATGCATGAATTGTAATTTGATTGGTTGAGTGGGTGACCATATAAATACCAAATTTCAAAGAGTAAAAGAGAACAAAAAATTGACCTTGAGAAGCTTGAGAGAACCAGCCATTGGGAAGGAAAAGAAAGAAGAAATTGTTCTTAAGAGCTCCACCCGAGAGGAAGAAAAGAGAAAGAAAGAGAAAAAATGGAGGAAAGCTTAGTTTGTGAAGATTCAGGAGAAACCATGGGTTCTTTACTTCTTCTTTGTTGAGTCTTGATGCTCACTTACCATTCAAAATGTAGATTTGAAGCTTGAAGGAGATTAGTGTTTCGGTTTGACTATTCAAGAGAGAGGAAGGTATGAGTCGTGATTTTGCTTGCATGCACATTTTGAAAACCAGTTGTAACTGTAAAAAAAATTTTGTGATGGCAAGATCTTTAAAGAATCAAAGGATCGAATGCATGTATGTTGATTGTACACGAGTATATGGTGATTTGAGACAAAAGAAATGATGGGTAAGTGTTCTTGACCTTGAGTTTCATGGATGGAAAGAAAGATGGAACATTTGTTGATGATTTGTGTTTGTGGCAGCAATGGTGAACAATGTTATGAGGAGATATTGAATTGCATGTAGAGTTCAAGGTGATTTGAAAGGTAAGCATGAAATGTGGGTATGTTATGGCACATTTGGATGTGTGCATCAAATACATATATTTAATGAGAGATTAAATACCTAATTAGTCTAAGATAGACTAGATTTAAAATCGAATTTAGGTGTTTTTATTTATTTTATTAGTTTAGTTTAATTTATGTTTAAATGTTTTATTTTAAGTTAATAATGTTAGTTTTATATTATTTATATTTATTTTTATGTTTTTGCAGAAGTAGGATCAAAAATAATTTCAATTGGTGAAGAAAGGAGCATAATGGAGTAGTGCTTTGTTTGCTTATGTTTCCATTTTTCAAGCATATCCCCCACTACAAATGTCCAAATGACATGATTTTTAGACCATTAGAAAACTAAAAGGCAGGGCTACAACTTTATTGTTTACCACTTTCTCAATTCTGATTGAAAAGTGATCAAAATCTTTGTCGATATGAAAGTACTGCATTAGAAGAACAAAATTGAGCAAAACCTTTAAAAGTCGCGACTTTGGAAAATGAGAGCTACAGTGCTCACCGTATTTTCCAAAAATAACAGGTTTATGGGGAATATGTACTAAGCAATTTCTCTAGAGAAAAAGAGCCAAAAACAAAGTAGGAAAGCAAGAGAATTAGATGGAGAATCAAGATCACAAAGCTTCAACTATTAGTTTTTTTTCTCTACTTTTGTGTTTTTCTTATTTTCTTTGACTTAGATTAATGGATAATTTTCTTTAGATGAAGTTTTTATTAGATATTATAAGCTATATTTATATTTCTAGGACTGCAATTGAACTAACATGTAACCTAAATTTTTAATCTCTTTCTTGCTTATCTTTAGTGGGATTTGAATTGTTTATTCCAATTTGTTCTTAATACTTTTAATTATCTTATCACCAATTAAATTGATTTAAGAACCTAAACAAACTGGGGAAAGGGAGTTTAGTGTAGACTAAAATTAAAATAGTATATGATCATATTAATTGATTTGCATATAGGATAAAGATATACCTATAAGACACATGTAGCCAGATTAAAGCCTAAATTTAATGATTATGTTTTAATTTCAATTCATATAGGGATATAGTATTTTGGTTAAAACAGATATTTTTATAAGAAGAGTCAAGAGACTCATATAAATAATTAAAGACTTTAGGTCAACCCGTTGAAATAAGTTAAGAAAGAGAGTTAAAATTTAGATGAAGTGTGAGGGATATTGTAATCCTAGGCTTGTTTGATTTGCTTTTTACCTAATTATCTTGTTGATTTAATTTTTAATTAAATTAATTGAGTAGTTTTTAGTTTAATTAGAATTCAGATTTTAATTATTTGAATAAAACTAAATTTTTCTAATTTTAGTACTTAGTAAAATTTTAGATCAATTCTCTATGGGATTGATACTCTGTTTGATTATATATTATCTATTCGATGCGTATACTTACGTAGTAGAATTTTAACTGACACTCAACTAGTTGAAACTTAGTGGTTGCATGTTAGATTATTTATAAGAATAAAGATGAACAATGTGGATATTGATTAAGGATTCTTGGTTAAGATGTTTCTCATATATAATTGTGTATGTGCATGAAATTGGAAATAATGTGTGAGGTCAGTTATAGTGAAAAATAAATAATTTGAAATCTGAAAAGTTCTTGAAAATGAAAGGAACTAAGAATGTGGGACATAGGGCAGCAAATGTGAGCTGAATTGGAATGATAAACACTAAGTACATTAAGCTTGATTTATTGCTAGGAAGTGTGCAAGTGGAAAGGGATTACCGTGGTAATTAACTGAAAAAGGAAACAATTGACTGGCAAGTTAATTTAATTTGAAGTGTAACCAAATAAGTGGTGAAGTAACATCCTGCCACCGTAAAGTGAGTGAAGGTGCCAATTTTAAAAGATTCTATGCTATA